GTGCAAAAACTATGCCTCAGACGTAGCAAGCAACTTTGGTCTGACTACTATCGCCATGCGTTTGTGGTATGCTTTGGGTATTAACAACAGTACCACTACACTGAACAGCACTGAACTACCCGTATGTAAAAGGATGAAATTTACACTGACAAAACTGAATCGTAAACCATAAAAACAAAAATACCTGACTTCAGAAATTTAACGAAAACTTGAATTTTAAAGTGGTTCAATACAACTTTACCAATGGCTCAGAAGTACATCTGTTAAGGAAGCTTGACAGTTGAAAGCAGAAAGGTTGGCAAATCGAATGTTGTCAGATTCTCGAAGGGAAAAGGTTTATTTTACTAAATACACCGAAGTACTTGGGTTATGTCAGTACTTTCGTAATTAAATGAATCTGACATTCTGGTGGCGAGATGAGGACATACGGACGTGAACAGATGAGAGAAGAGCCGTGAATAGACAAAAGGGTGTTTCACATGACTGAATGTCAACATTTACTGACTATTCCAAGTGGCTTTCAGCCCACTTTATCCAGGCGAGATCTCTGTATTTAGAAACCAGTAGCTTACAAGTATACGAAGGTCCCAGTTGGTCACATGTGTATAAAGACACCTGGATGATATCCAGACGACAGTCAGTTTCCTCTCGTCGTTTGCTGCAACGGTGACAGTAGAAATCCTCGAGTATGACATCAGTAAAACGATAGACAACTAGTCCGACTGGTATTCCTATGGATGTGAAACTATTAGCAAGTATGACATTTTGTCAAGCCGGATAACGTTCCCAACCAACTAACAGGGTGAGCACAGTGATCCTGAACCCGACTGGTGACACTTATCCAAAGTTGCAATCATGGTTCATAACACTGCCGTTACTTGATGATTTAGCAAATAAACTGAATAGAAAAGTGTACAGGTCATTTTTCATCCGATGATTCATGAAGGTCGCCTTAATGAAGGTATAATTTTGACTTTAGATTCAAACTCTTAGTCACTTGAGCCGTCAGCTCCGCCGAATATCAGACTATATAGTTCTCGTAAGGTCGTTCTCTCTGTAAGGTTACCTAATACCTAGGGAAACTCGCCAATTATATCTAAGTAGTTTGACTACTTTGTAGATTAAAAGCGCGTCAAAAGTGTAATCTTCTAAGTGATTAATTAACTGTACAGACAGGTGGATATCAAATTTAGCCGACAAACTGTTTTTAAATTTTATGTCTTTTTGCAGTAAACGTGATCAACTGTCTGAAACCAAACTAACAAATGTTTGAAGCAATGAGGTTTTCTACAGCTTCAATAGAAGAAAATATATATTGACTGATGTCTCATTTTTCCACTCTAGCCAATGTGGTGGCAATTCCAGAGGACACTTACATTTTGGAGTTCTAATAACTGAAGACCACACTGAGCGTGCTGACAGTGTCAGCTACATAGTCTACCTTTACGATATATGCTGCAACGTAAACGGTCTGGTACCATTTCAAATAATCCGATGTAAGCTTTTGTTGCATCATCGTACACAGTAGCCACTGAGGATTGTGCTCAGTTAGTGTTTTTTTGTAGATATAAATTCGCTCTGCAGATGCGGGCGTCAATGGAGCATCGTGCAACGTGATATTTTGACTGCGATACGGAATATTTTCGTAGATTACAATTACAAACAAATAGAACAGCACTGCGAGTTAAAACTTGATGGTTCATTTTAACTGTAGGGCATGTGTGAGCACAGACAGATTATCGATTTCTAATCACGTCAGTTGTGCTAGGGGCAACTTCGAAAGACAGGCTTACGGAAAGTATTCAAGCAGCGATCATTACTGATATCTACTGCTGTAAAGACAAACAAGCCATTCTAGTCACTCATTTATATATAGGGCACTTAACATCCATTCTTATTCTTGTACACAGTCGTCAATGCAGATATATCGGTCTCTGAGACATAGTGAACTAACTAGGCCTCAGTTTTACTTAGCTAGTCGAAACAACGAACATTGAAAATCCAGACAAATGTCTGTAATCTTGCTTCATAATGAGTCTGAACGACTGTTTTAAATCTAAGCTGCTTTTGTGCAACACCTGATTACAATTTTAACCCTGTCGCTTTGGTCAACAGAGTGCGATCTCGTTGATAAATCACAATGGGATATGTGGCACTTTCTGTCACATTTAAACTGTTGTCCCTCATTTGGGTTCAGCAGGGTTCACACTAAACTTCTTTTGTAATGAACATAAACAGATCTTTTCTAACTTTCACATGACCTCAGTTTGTAATCAGCTTTTCACATAAAACACAGTTCATATGAACTTTTACATGTTTTTTCTTCAAAGTGGACGTAAAACTTAGTGTGTTATAATATTTAAAAAGAGGTACTTAATTAATGTAACTGTAATGTCACTAATTGCAGCCGATATCCGAGCAGTTGAACAAGGCTAGGCGACCTCATCATTAGTTCCCTGCTATCTGGTGAACAATGCTGAGTGCGATGAAACTCATGGCTAATTTTCGGAATCATACCTAATATCACCGGACGTTATTTTGTCATTATAGACTTGACTAGATCTTTGTTCCACAACCGAAGAGAATGGGAAGTTTCTGACTTACAACAATGGGAGAATGAGTGGGGGAGGAGTTATTGCCCATGTGAACATATCCATAGGAAAAACACATTCGTTCTGCCTTGAATGCATTAGTGAGTGTTTTTCAACTGAACGTAACACATAGGCTTTAACTGGTTGCGGAATGAGTGTAGCAATTAATCATCAATGCACCAAACCTACTCTGCTGAAGTCTGGCACTTGAGATGATTGTTTGAACGGTATATACTTCAGTGATGAATGGAAATTCTGTTCAGCAGATGCCGGCTACTGGCTTCTTTACTGGACCCTTATGAAGGTAGTAAAATAAATCCAACTTTCAAAAATATACCGAGAGATAGCCGATGATTTGGAAGAGAAATTGTTTCAGGAAAGCAGCATTTGGTAAAAGTAGACAGAATATATAAGTTAGCATTTTGATTTACACAGCTTGCGGAACATCTCTTGTTGTTTGTTATACAGACGTATTTTTTTTATATAGATGTCACTTGATTAAATACGCTCCATCTACCTAGATTCTAGTTTTTGTACAAAAATATGTAAAAATCCTTAGGAAAAATGTGTGGAATTGACGTGAGGAAATTCTAGAAATACCAACAATCTTTACCCCAAAGAGCAATTAAGAAGGACGTTGTTACCGATATTGTGACATATGAACAGTAGAACATTAACACGCTTGCTGAGTAACGTGTATGACAGAACCTATTCCCTGTTAGAAATAAAAACAGACTCATGCTTCTTTTGTGCTTGTGAATTTGCTGCTTTTCATACCGAACTTACGTTTGTGGCAAACTCGTTCTTTGCACTTTCTGTCTCCCGTAACTTAAATTCTCTTGTAATTGAAAAACTACTAATTGGGTTTAAATTAGTTACATATTGAAGTAAAATTTAGTCTTTAATTTGAAGATTGGTTAAGACCATACAACGAACGGCTAGCCTTAGATAAACGTTTCGCTTAACATGTTAACTATTGCTTGACAAAATTCACATCACTCTAGTGTTTTTGCGATAACTATTACGGTATCTTTGTGCAAAGCTGTGATCTTCCAAAGAGATCTTTTTGTGAGTATAGAAATCACAATTATGTAATAAATAAGCATACATACATTCTTCACTACACTTGTAATGCAGCTTCTGTGCTAATTGCACTCTAAGTGGACTCCGTCCAGATGACAATTCCGAACATACTTACAGCTGTGTTCAATGCAGATTGACAATCCGAAGAAGACACAGCCCGTCTACACTAACAGGGTGAGAACAAACTCGAAATCAGCAACATATAAACTCATCCGTTACAGGCTATACTAACAAAATTGATGACAGAACGTTTAAAAACGCAGATTTATAGCGCAAAAGGCAACCGGTTAGACCCACATTTGCATGCAATCTCTACTTGATATATCTAACCATGGACAAAATCGGTTGAGGAATGTCAGTTTGAGGGTGAGCATCAAGGATTATTGCACACATTTCAACGAGTTTCAAAACAATTTTTTTAAATAATTGCCTCTGTTGTCAGTTCATCAACAGTTATGCGATCTCACTAAAACAAGTTATTTACAAAATGTTCTGTATATAGCACTATTCCGTTTATCTTGTAATGACAAGGTACCACCTCAAGCTTATCTTGATAGAGCAGGTACACCATTCAGAGCACACTCATGTAAAAAATACTTAGTAGTATATTCTGGTGAAGTAATTCGATAGCACATTGTTTAGAAAATATAACAGTCTAATGAAAATTCGATAAGCATTCTTAAACAAATGTAACCACAGCTTAGTGTTCACGCTTTTTTATATGTGAGAATATTCAACACGGTAATAAGAGTGCAACGTGTAGCGAACAATTGTTTGTGCGTTTGATCCTTGTCTACTAACATTTTAAAATGCTTTTCCTAAAGAGCAGCCGAAGTGGAGTCGGATATACTGTAGAGAAGTAAAACAGGATAAATGAAAAGTTATTGTTTGGTTGCCTAGCAACCATGTGAATTATATCGAATTTTGGCTTGTTCATCAATCAGCTCTTAAGATACTAAGCGATGGTGTTTATTCTGAGTGTGAAGGAGAAAGATTAGAGTCATATTACGAAACATACACATACACAAATAGTTTCCACAGCAAATGGGGATCACGAACGGTATATACTTTGATGCTGACTGTTAGCAGTGAGACATCGATCTTTTCGATTAACTACGTTTTAGCAGGACAGCCTGATTTTTAGTTTTATTACTAATGCTATTAATTATTATTGTTTCGAGCATTATTGTCACTGTCATCTTCGGCAGCATCTTCATTCTTGTCGTTATATTAAGCCAAATGTATATCACTTTTATTACCGAGGCCGGTATCACTCTTGATTTTAGCATAATTAGTTATTTTAGGGGACCCTGCTGTGAAAAATCTGGACTTCGGCTGGATTCGAACCAGCGACAGAAACAACATGTCTGGACATGACAAATGCTCTACCAGCTGAGCTACAAAGTTACGCCGAAAGCTCAGAAATATCATCTTTGGACCTAGCTATCCACCTAACTCAGTGTGTCATGTGGAATCCATCAAATGATCCAGCAGAATGACTACTCAAGTAGGGTTTATCGATCGTTTCAAGGGTAGAATCCACCAACGTCATCGACGACTATTGACAATGTATTTCTGCCAAGTAATTTGGCAGACTTGATTGTTACAATAAAAATGCTCATCGGTGATGTTGATGGGTTCCAGCGTGAACTGGTCGAGAAATCCTGCTTGAGTAGTCAATCTGTTGGATTATTTGGTGGATTCTATATGACACAGTTGGTTGGGTGGGTAATTGCGTACAAATATGATATTTCTGTGCTGAAGTTCAGATTTTTCGCAATCGGGTCTCTTTTAAATTATCAAATCTGTCAAGTTACTAATCAATTTTATAAATATCATTTAACAATTTCTTCAGTGTAGAAACAAAACATTTGAAGTAGTTATGTATCCCGGTAATGTACAGACATTTTTACTCGTCTGATACGTGTCCGGAAGTTCCACAAATTCTGTAAGACTAACACAATTCAATGGACCTATTACATCATTTGACATATTGCCTTTGTGAAAAAGCCAGAGCTCGGAAAAATATTTCCCCGAAACAGAGACAACACCTTTTGTACAGTAGAGCAGTCAAAAACGTTGATGCGCATGATTTGTAGTCCTGGCAAATTTGTGTACATATTATCAAGTGCGCACTACAGAACAGGAGACTACTGAGTGCAAAAGAGTGGTCAGCTGTGAAGCTGAACACATAAGGGAAACCTACAGCGGAGCTGTTTACTAACCAATCAATGACATCCCTACCATGACAGTGCTAGACTAACAAAAGGCCATTCTGAAGACAGACATCGACATCAACGTCTTGAAGCAGCTGCTTTAGCATATGGTAACAACCAGGGTTTATCAGTTGCGTGAACAGCTGTAAAGGCGTGCGTGAGATCCACCTTGTAATGGCTCTCCAGGAAATGACGGACGATCGCTGATCCTGATAGTCCGCACAGTTTGTTTTTAGATCATACGGTCGACTTTAACAAGGGGCTTCATCTACTAGAGAAGTAGAATATGATATAACAAATTAGTTCACTTGAACCTATCGGTGCCACAAGTTTTTCCAAATCGCAACCTGCACACGCATACTGACAACTACGAGCATAAGAGGGACGAAACGCTCCAGGTGTTCTTTCCTGCCCTCCACGCAATACCGAGCCATTTGCCTCCAGATGAACATTCATCAAACCTTAACTGGATTAGCATGACGGCTGTCGGCAGGTGAATGTGTAGACCGGGGGTTTTGCCTTCCAGCTGCTTTCACCGCAACATGGAAGAGTTGCTGATGCATGGTTGAATGTTTTACAAAACACGATTGACACGGTCGCCTAGATGTTATGAGGTCATACTGAACAAAGGGGTCAGTCGGTGCCTGATACGTACGCGTTGTTAATTCAACTGATGCTGTTAGATACCTATGTTTGAAAGTAGACTGAACATCACGCCAAGTAACGAACACAAACGAGTGTATATCTTGCTTTGACTAATGCCTGTTTGCAGTTTGGGCTAGCAGTCCATTCTTTGTGCACAGTAATGGCTTTCTGGTGATGCCGGAAAGTGAAACATTTAAGCTGAAAACATTAAATACCATACAACCGATGGACATTTGTTGATGACTCAATAAAACTCCAACTTCCGATTATCACTATCGAAAAGAATTTAGAGAAACTACAGGATGGAGAAGCAGAGTACACATTTTTATTTGCAACCACGTGTCAAGTTCCAAGCCGAATTGAATATGGCTTGTAAACGGACTCCGTTAAATAGGCAGTATTTTTAAAACACGACATGCTTTTATGATATGATACTCTTCAGATTAATTGCATACATTTTTGAACACATGTCTAATCAGACAGGCCTGATCTTCTTTTCTTGAGAAATGTTTTACAGGTTGAAATCGAGAGTAGGTTCGCTGGTCTGACGTCTTCCAACCTATTTAATTACCTCCAGCAGTTCAGAGAAGAAGTCGGTGTAGACCGAAGAAATATTTTTAAGGGGAATATAATGAACGGGGCTCATTAAGACCAACTGAATAATCAAGAAGATCTAAGAGATTGGCATAACAGTTCACCTAAAAGGAAACAACAGAGACTTGACAAACTTGTCACCTTCTCACTAATCAGTGCATAGTGAAAATCAGAACGGACTTCGTCTGCGGAGATGTGTAGCAGATGTCAAATAAATGCAGTCATACAAAGCTGACGTTAATTTCGGCACATCTAAAATATGAGAAAGGTACCAGCATTAGTACGTTCTTAACGTAATTTTGAATATAGTGATTCGGCAGCAATGCTTTGCTAGAAATCAGAACGAGTGTTGATGGAGTTTTGTTTAACCCTCATTGGTTACGATATGGCGTGCTATCATCCGCTTTTACGGCCAAGCTGGTCATCTCTCATCGATGGGTTACAGTGTGTTAAAATCTAGCTGAGATATAATTTGAAACCTGTTTCCCAACGGAAGTAGTGTGTTTTCGAGATGTTTCATTTATGATTGATAGGCTATTTCTAACCGGGCGGATCCTTAATCTACTTGAGAGTGAGATGTGAGTCATTAGGTGGCTGTGATGCAAATAAACCGTGGATCAAGTATACTAAATCGATAGGCAAGATTGTGCTGACACTAGTGTGTGCAATACAGTGTAGACACATGTATCTGTGGCCAGACAAAATCGAGTGTGTATTTTGGTCCGGGAGTCAATTGGTTGCGAGTGAGTGGAAGCTTTTGTCTTCTCTATGTGATAAATGTGATATGTTTTATTGAGTACATGGTCATTTTGGTGACTGCCAAAAGTAAGCTTGTATAGTTCAAGATTGGCAACCAACTCAGACCCAATTACGGTGCTTTTGGTGTGTGTATTTTCGATGGTCTACTGAAATCTGATTCTATTTTAAACCCTTCTGCAATTATCATGAACTTTCTGAGGTCCACTTTGCGCTTTCAGGATGTCACCAGCGAATGTAACAGTCGATCTGGATACAATGGGTCGGTTATTCCTCAACTGAGAGCAGTGATACGACGATCAGTTGGGTTGCCTCATGATAACCTAGACCGGAAGTAGAATCCCATTCGTGGTAAAGATATACACTACTTAGCGGAGATTTACCAAAGGCAACAGTTGGGCCTAGTTCAACTTTTCCAAAGAAGTCAGAGGAGAACTCTACTTAAATGCGAAACTTGTAGTCAAAAATGGATCTCGTTCAACTCATGTCAGTCAGTTTATTGTGAGCTGAATTCAGTAGTATAGGTTAACTCTCGGAAAAATACTATCGAAACACGTCACGTAGTTGACCCATCACTAAGTACAGGATGCTTTACAAATTCATATCTCCATAAAGTCAGCAATCACTGAGGCATTGTTACTAAACCAATAATTTTATTTGAAAAAAGATCCAAACAAAATCATGTTGATTGTTGGAAAATTGAAAGTGTATATCCTATTCCATTATTTGCTCACATGAGGTCGTTTCAATCGTTTTTAGAAAACAAAACATGAACTCACATTATTGATTGTTTCATATAATCGACTGATAAAAATAAACAACATGCCTGCATCTCGCAGTTTGAACTTTATATGACCCAATGGATAATCAGTGCCAGATGAGGACTATTTGCTAAACGATCACGTAATTCTAACGCAATTCTTCATTAATCTCTATGAGACTTTCAGGTATGACACCCTGAAGGTTCTGTTGAGTTGTCTGACAAAACTGTTACAACTTGAAGCAAATTCTGTGATATCTCAACAGAACTGTCAGACTTTGTTGCTTTGTTGGGTAGTGAAAGTGGATGTTCCTAAAGCATTACATCGCTTATGATGACTCGCGTTTTAATAGATTTTTCATTCAGACCCTTTCGAACAGAGGTATTAAACCAGAGTTCCAGTGATGCTAGAACTCACTATTCAGCGCGACTTCTTTCCATAGCCGAAAATTCAACTTTGTTTGTGTTTTCATGAGACAGTTGAACTAACTACTGAGTCATTGAATCAACAAGATTGTTGTCATGTCTGCCTTCCGGGTGATTGAGAAGTCTGAGTACCATTCGGCAACAACTATGATTCCGTGAGTGAAACACCGGGTTCCTTTTAACCGCTTCATCGGAGCGGAAAGAAGACACCTTAAGACAGGTTAAGATTTTGTTTACTCTCATCAATCACATACTTAAAACATATCAGTTATCTACATCATACAAGTAAGAACAACCCAGAGACTAGACACATCTACAAACACTGTGTTTGTGTATGATAATCTAGTCGTTCGGTTCAATCTGTCTAATAGTTAATTGTGTTGTAGAATTCTATTTATATTTCATTGTTGCTTCACTGGTGGCATAGCTAGCATGAACGAAGTGACGCTCGAACAAACATTTTACTTCTGTGTTTGGTCAGACATGTTTTCAAAATTCCCAACTATCATAACATTCTCAAATGTATTTTGCATTCGTAAATTTAGAATCTATCCATCGATAACGAAACAATTCCGTTCAGGTTTGCTGAGGATGTTAAGTTATGTTTCCCAGAGCCAACTAACACGACATACACTAGACATGAAGATACTAGTGTGTTACACATCGTCCGTAAAACGTTGAAACTGGTTTAATCAGATTATTAGTATGTAGCCTTTACTCTCACTAAACCACATTCCACCACGGTTGTGTTAATTCCTCATCTCCCGATCTACGTAAATTTTCGTTTCTTTCAGGGATATCTTGGCAACACCGTTACGTCTGACCTTTTCACGTCAATTTGCATCAATGTGCTCTTTTTCAACATCTAACGCCCCGTCATCTCCATGAGTTTTTGAATGTACTTAAACGTTATGTCAACTGTTTTCGCCCATTGTCAGCATGTTTTGATGAATGATTCACTCTTGTACAACGTTCTCATAGTGCAAGGATATGCTCTACCGACATTACTG